GGGACTATGGTCCTAGGCGGTAGGTTATGGACTTAGAAATCAGGTTGGAATCCTAGCTCTAATCTTTAGTAGTTGAATGACTTTGGGTAAATCACACCTTTTTGAGTGCGGGACTCAGTTTCTTCAACTGTAAAGTAAGGATAGAAATATGCTGCGTATATATTGTCAAGATTAATGTGGCAATGTATGTAAAGCACCTTACCTGGCACATAGGAGACCCTTAAATGTCAGTTTTTCTTTTATTCTGCCTTTGGTGCTATTAACAAATACAGTTTGCTTTTCTATGATTCTAAGCATGATGACTATAAGCAGAGTTGAATGGTTCTCTACATAAACTTTTTGAAGATTTAACATGAAGGACTCAAATTTGTCATACTAACATGAAAATATGTCATACTGACATGAAAAATTACCAACATATGGACTGGTATTCAGTATCTTCTGCTTTAGATCCTTAAGTCATCCTTGTCTTACAGGAAGGTATTGTCTTTTTCAGAAGTTTAATTGTCTAAACTCATCATTTCATTAATTTTATTCTGTTCATTAAAATAAACTAATAATTTACTTTGAGTACAGAAATAATTAAATATCAACTATGTAAAGTTCAGTTTTCATTTGAACTCAAAGCAAGGCCTGTGTAGTATTTGCTTTATTGTTACAACTTCAAGTAGTGTCAGCAGCATATGTGCTATATTTTGGATTTTGAAACTCGAGCTGCTAGGATTAGGATCACAGGCTCTATATATACACTCATTTAAAATCCTGCACTTAGTCGAACAGTAGCAGAGCTAGAGTTCTCAGATTAATTTCTCTAATAGCGACTGCATTATGTCGTCATTTTTGGATAGCATCTGCTCCTTCCCCTCCTCCTTCTGCACTGGTTTAGGAGGAAATAAACTGCAGGTGTCTGGCTAGAAAAAGAGGGAGGATTTTTTACTACACAGTCAGGATTCTCAGTGTGTGAATCTGTCTTCATTAGATTTTGAGTTCTTAGAAGGTCGAAGCGAGGTATAAGAATAGAGAAAGACAATATTGTCAGTATCTAGATCCTTTCTTAAATGCGGCTTACCTTTTTTCTGGGGAAAGGCGTGAGTTTCGTAAACGAGCACAGGTAGTCTCATTTTTAGAGACCCAAGATAATGTTTCCACGCGTGCCTTAGGCAACATAATATAGTAGGAATTTCTGGTCCTTTTCTTTACTTCCCTCAAATAGGTTGTCATTTTGTTTTCTTCCAGCATCATTGAGGACCAGCTTTTTTTTTTTTTTTTTTTTTTGAAATCATATGTTTTTAAAAGCATTAAGCAGCATAGTTATACAGTTTGCTGTAATGGTGGTACACAGCTTAGGATCAGGAATGAGATGGGAAAAGCAGATGGATGAGTTTGGTATTGGCTGGGTGCAGCAGTTGGAAGAGGGACAGTGTAGTATAATGGTCAGGATGTGGGTTTTGGAGTTGTATAGGCTGGGTAACTTGGGGCAAGTATCTTCATCTTTCTAAGCCCTGATTTCCTTATCTTTAAAATGGAGCTAATAATAGTATTTAATCTACCTCATAAGAGTGTTGTGAGAATTAAATAAGATGACTGCAAGTAAGGTTCTAATTAGCATAATGCCTAGCATATAGTATATTAGATACTATTTTTATTATTATTAGGAGGAGGATGATTGAAGAAGTGAGGTCATTGGTAGGACCTTACCTGAAGTAATTGGGAGGTTCAGGCTGGCAAGGAAGAAAGTGAGGGATGTTAGAAATTGGAGAATAAGAAATGATTGAGGGATTAGAATTGCGATGAGGGTAAAAATGGATTTAACAATAGAAAAATAGAAAGATAAGGGTTTATGGGCAGCAGGTGAGATCACAGAGTTTGAGATTCTAGAGATGGAGCGTTTCCACACAATGACATCATCCAGCCTTTGACAACGGTTGCTGATGTGGAGACAAATTCAATTTAAATCAACAAATATTTATAGAGTCCTTACCGTGTGCTAGATACTGTGCCAAATATTGGGGAATGTAAAATTTGAGTAAAATATAATTGAATTAGAGGTGGTCAAACACTAGCTATTCGTTGTTTACCTGAAGGATGAAGTTACCCACGACAGTGACAAGCTGCCAAACTTTATTATCACAAAAAATGTTTGAGTGGATTGACTTGTTTTTCATTGGTTTAAGATATTACTATAAATGGCTCTTTAAAATAGGCGCATCTCCCAATGGGAATAAAATAATTAGCAACATTAATTTAGAATTTAAAAGATAGCTGTCCTAAATTCATTTATTTGACTAGTCTTTTTTTTTCTTCCTCTTTCCTTTTTAGCCACTAGTGCACTGATTAGATGATTAACCCAGTTCTTTTCAGTTTTAGAGGAATGGTTTGCTGAGTGGTGTTGTGTCCTTCTTGTTTCTGAGTGAGTATCCTAGAAAAGGAACATGTCCCAAAGAATAGCGTAATTGGGGCAAAAAGGAACAGCTCCTGTTGTAGACAGGGTGATTGTTCCTTGTGCCTTCCAGTTGAAAGTTGTAGGCTTTGAATTCTAGGAAGCTTACTTTATCAAAAAATATATGTATACACGTGTATATAACGTTAATTAAACATTTATTTTAAAATTACACATACCCTATCGAATAGCAATAAAGTGAATTTTATACTGTTGACTTAAACCTACGCTGATTATTTTGGGGTTCCTTCCATTCAGTGGTAGGTAGCACAGATTCACACGTATTTGGTTTACGTATATTGACTGCGACCAAAGTCAGCAGGAGATAAGAGCCGGGTGCACAGCACCCAAGAGGTTCCCAGGCGGGAAGCTCAGGCCCCTGCTCTACTGTCGGCTGTGTCTGCTCTCCTCCATGTCTCTCTTGCCTGGTGCGCGACCTTTGCCAGGCGCTCCTCTCGCTTTTCCTCCAATGTGCGTTTAAGGAGACTACGCGTAATTCCACCTCTGCTCACGGCCCTTTGCCACATCACTTTGCCATCGTAATTACCAAGAGGAGCCGTGTTGCCAGGACTAGCAGAAGCGGATATTTATGCAGTTGGTGTCAGATGGACCTTCTGCTTCCTTTGGGCAAACTGCTACTATACACTTGGCTCGTTTCACTCATGTGGCCTAAAAAACGTGGAGACTCTGCAATGTCCCCTCCTTTTATTTTCTGAGCTCTTCCTCTATCATGGTGGCTCTCAGAGTATTGTCTACAGACTGGCAGCATCAGCACCACCTGGGAGCTTGTTAGAAATCAAGTTCTCGGGCCTCGCCAAGATCTGCTGGCCCAAGATCCTGTAGCTGGGGCCCGTCTCTAACAAGTGCTCCAGGGCGATTTTGGTGCATGATAAAGGCTGAGAACCACTCTAGCATTATGTGCTTAACAACCTGTGTACATTTTCTTGAAATCTCTGACAATATATTTCTACTAAGCTTAATGTATAGGTTGGAAATATGGAATTTCCATTGTTGTAGGTCAATAATTGTCTAGTGCTCGCAATGTCATGTGGTTCAACTAATAGTTACTTTGTCTACACCATGATTTCTTAGACATTTTCTTGTCGAATCATTGATATGTGTTTTTTGTGGGCAGCTGCACCATGCATTGTAGGATTTTTAGCAGCATCCCTCGAGTCTGCCTACTAGATTACAGTAGCATATCCCAAGCTGCGATACTCAACAATGGCTTCTGTCTGACATTATTCTGGTTGGGGGGCGTGGGGGGTGGGGAGCACTCCCGGCCGAGAGCCACTGGCTTCCCCTTCTGAGCAGCAGGATTAGGTTGTAGATATATTTTATGATGGGCCACTATTCAACCCACTACAAGTAGTATTTTTATATGCAACTTTAATTTCCCTTTTTTGATCTCCCCCTCTTGGCATGGGTCCCTTATTTCAGTCCTTTCTCCTTTTCTTCTTGATTTTGTCTTTTAAAGTTATTCACGTAGAGAGTGGTGAGTATAGTGGATGATTGTGTTGACCTGTATTTCACAGGCTACTGTACTGCAGAGAAAAAGCCTTTCTTCACAGCAGGCATCTTCATTTAGAATCAGAATATGCTTCTTAGTAACAGAACTTATAAGACTCTGAAGCAAATAAATATAATACTTAAACTTTTGAAACCATGTTAAGGTCTTAAATATAATGACAAATAGTTCCATTTGAAGAGCTAAGTAAAAATAATTTTAATTAAGATAAATAAATATTATGGCATCAGTAATTAACATTTAAATTGGTATCAGTTAAGCATAGATAGAATTTTCCTCTGAGAGGGTACCACATTCACTATCATCATCTTTCTCTATATAGTTTCAAGTATTTACACAATGTATGTGGCTTAGCTTATGTTTTAAAAACAAAGACTTTTTTGCATGGAAATGGATTTTCGGAAGAATCTGAACACCTTTTCTAAGGGATTTAAACCACTAGAGTATCACTGAGATTACTTTTGCTGAAGTTTTGGTGACCTAATGAACATTATGTCAAAAAGGTACTCTATTAATGTATGTTTAAGGTGTTTCTGGCAATTCATAGTCGGTCTAGTGTGACAGGTAATTTCATGCATCAGAAGCGAGTCGTATGATTCTCCTGTAGTTGATTTTGTTGCTGCCCCTGCTGCCGTTATGATTATTAATATTTTAATATAATGAAATTTTACCATTCATATTTTCTTGTAAAGTACGGCAAATTGGCAGGTTACGGAAAAAATGAGTTAGAATTTTAAAGTAAGTAATAATAGTCTTAAGACTTTTAGACCTAAGATATATATGTAGAGAATCCTCTTTTAGCGTAAACATAATTAATGTCTTCATGTATTTGTTGTAAGATTTAGTTAAAGAAATTTCAGTTCTGGTTTGATTTTTATAGCTAAGTGATATGTTTAAAGTTCAAAACTTTGTCAAAGTCTGAGTGTTTATCATTAAAAGCAGTCAGTATTCAAATCAGTCCCTACTTTTTATAATCATAAACCAGAATACAACTTATAATGACAAATTTTAAATTTGTGTTTTCTTTGTAAGTGCTGGTCAAGATATCCAGGGAACAAGTGTGATTGCAAATCTTCCATTTTTGATGCGACAGAATCCTGCAGAGACACTTCGGAGAGTCTTGCCAAAAGTTAGAGTAAGTTGGTGCGAAATAAGATTTAAATTTACCTTTTTTCCCCCCAGTAGCATGTTGTCATTGTCAGGAGAAAATTTCAGAGCTTTTGATGGCTGATCTTTTGTACTTAATCATTGAGTGGAGGAAGTATTATGATACACATTTTGAATTATGATGGAAAAAGGGAAATTAGCTGATGCAAATGGAGAAATCCAGATCTTAAGTTGTAAAGATTTCTTTAGTCATTTTCTGAGTAGAGACATTTTAACAAAGTTAGCTTTCAGTAGTTCAAAAAAGATTTTAATCTCACATTCATAGCTATCTTATTTGGTATTCTGTTGACTTAAATCTATATTAATAGTATTCTATAACATCGATAGTATAATTTAACTGATAACTACTAATGATGACCCAGTGGTGACTTCTACAGAATCATTAAATAAAAATTGAATTGTGGCCATCAGAATTTTAGTTTTATATTCATATTATTGCTTCCTAAATTCTTCAGAATTAGTTTTTCCTGCTATGCACAAAAATATTTGGTCTACTATAACATCCTTTCCTCTATTTAATACTTATTGATAACATATGATATTAAATATTTAAGACACAACATTTATTATTTGTACATATGTGCAAAGTGTTTTTCTTTGTAAGAACTTGAATGGACAAATGGGAACAGGGAGGTTACATATTAATGGGGATTGTGTTTGCTAATAGTGAGTTTTATATACTTCGCTTTGGCTCTCTGGTTATAACTTTTTAATATTTTTTAAAATTTGTTTATACATATTTAAATACTGTAATTATTAGTGTGTCCTTGGGTTTTATTTTTAGGCACATATAGCATGGTTGGTTACAGTTACCGTGATTTAGATCAGTGGTGTTCCATGTTATTTTTACAAGATGCTCACGTTTCTATGCAAGCAATGTGACTTTTTTTTTACTAGTTAAAATGATGAATAGAGATGTTTATTTTAGCATTGCATATGATTCAAAAGTGAATCAAGCTTTTTCCTACCTATTTTTCCCAGATTCATGTCATAATTTCAATGGAATTGAGTCTACGCAGTCCCTTTTACATTCAACTCCAGTGACAGTAACTGACCTATGCTTGTTAGCATGACACCTGGAAGTGCCAGTTAAACAATGGTAGACAGGAACAGGTGGCTAGGTCCTCTTGACTGAAGAGTTATCGTACATAAGCAAATTAAATTTAAAGCTAAAAATCCTGAACATGCTATACACTGTGTCGAGCAGGCTAAATCTGGCCCACGGCATACTGAATGTCTAAAGCTTCATAAAGTAAAAATAAAAGTTGAAGGATATAGAGTAGTGACCTTTAGAGATCTCTAAGTTATTTTGAAAAAAGCCTATGCTAATGAAGTTACAATAAAATCAATTAAATAATAAGTTCCCCACAATCTTAATTTCATGGGATTCTGTAAAGAATATTATATACTCATATGTAGAGTATATTTATACAAAGAATCAAATGTATTTGCTGAAACTATATAACTGAGTTAAAGATATGATTTTAAGGAGCTTTTAAAGTAACAAAAATTAATCCATAATATAGAAGATTAACTGAATAAATGGATAAAGAAAATTATAATAATGAATATGTACTAAGAAAACCTTTACTTATTGCTGAATGATTTCATTCATTTCTTGAGTTAATCAACAAGCAGCCATTTACTTAGGACTCTCATTTATCTTGCCCTGTACAAAAAAAGATACAGAAAGGGTAGCAGACAGTCCCAGATTAGATTCTACGTCTGGAAGGCCTAGAGACGAGGGAGAAAAATTAAAGAACAAGTACAGGAGAGTACTTCCATGTGTGATTCTGACTTTATATAAAAATGCTGAAGAAGTAAATGCTAGAAAAGATTTAATGGGGGCAATAATAATTACTTTTATAGAGGGTTTATTATAAAATATAGGCAACTAAACATTTAAGCAACCCCATGTCAAATTATACAACCTGTGTTTATGTACAGATCATTTTAAATCATGGTATTTGTATATTAAGATTTATTGGTATGCATAGTTAGCATCTTCTTCAAATCTGCCTTGCTTCTGTGAATGGTTACTTTCAAGTGATAAAACCATAATATAAATCACACATAGCCACTTTATTTACTTTTGCCATGGCCATAATTTTTAATTTTATAAAAAAGCAATCCTGTAATATAAGTGAGCATTTAGTAATAATGGCATTCTCATTCACTCATAAATATTTACTCAGTACCTCCCGTGCACCAGGCACTGTTGTAAGCACTGAGAAAATAAGAGGTGAACAAAACTGAGAACTTGCCCTCAAGGAGGTGACAGTCCAGAGTGGGGAAAGAGACATAAAACAAGTGAGTGACAAGAACAGGGTAGTGACAGGGGGTACCTACTGTGCATTGGGAGGGCAAGGAAAGCCTCCTGGAGGAGCTGGAAACTTAAGGGGTAGGAGGAAGCAGACATGTGTAGTCGGGAATGAGTGGTCCAGGCAGAGAGCAAGAGAGAGTCCCTAAGACGAAAGAGCTTGGTGGAATTGAATGAGGCAGGTATAGTTGGAATCCAGTGGGTCAGGGTAGGATGTCACTTAAAGAGACGTGAGCGTTGTGATCAGCAACAGAGAGCACGCGAGAGTTGTTTTTTCTTACGAGGGTCAAAAACTACTGAAGGATTTAAGCACAGCACTGACTTATCCCCTTTACATTTACAGTGACTTTTGATAATTATGTGTAGAGTGGATAAGAGTGAGAGAATCAGGATGCTATAGCACTAGTCCTCATGATATTTGAGGGTGGCTTGGATCAGAACAGCTGATTCAGACAGTAGAGAGTAGTGGATGTATCTGAGATACATTTATCAAGGTAGAATGAACAGAACTTCATAAAGAATGGGATGCGGGGAGTGAGAGCTGATTTCCAGATTTCTGGCTTGAGCATCCAGATGGTTCTGCTGGTTTTAGGTATCTTGGTTGATAACGTTTATTAAATCCATAGGGAAAAATAGTTTGAGTACTTAACAATTACTAATCATCCTATGAGTGATTTACTTTTAGAGAATTTAAAGATATGAACAGTAAGTATTTATGTAAGAAGCTAACTATTCCCAAGCTTCTTACCACATTTATAATAGTAATATAAGCAGCTTTTAGAACTCACCCTTTACCTTATCTTTACCTTAAAGAACTTCATATAAAGTGATGATAGCGATTTTTCTGGCTTTAGGCATTATAAAAGCTCACCAGTGATATTTTTATTTTAATTTTTTGTTTTGTTACATTTGTGTTTCATCCTTACAATAATATATTTACTGAAAAATGGTTTTTAAAATTGGTTGTTATTTTCACTGTTTTAGAGATGAAGGGATTTAAAATTAAAAATAAAATGGTAGAAACAGAGTCAGAATTAGAACTGGGCTAATCCATACATAGTATTTCTATAATTTACTTTCTAAATTTTATCTGTCATGGACAATGAATGATAATGCAGTTAGATAAATAATCTCAAAATTAAATTTAAATAAGAATTCAGAAAGTAAATTCAATTTAAATTCCCTAGATATGGAGACATTTTTAAATATAGTTATCGTAATATAATCATGTTATATGATTTAATCCTAGGGTATCTTTTGAAAAAGAAATAAACGTTTTCTGTTTTTATTAAGTTTGAATTCTTTTCTACAGTGAACTAAATTGAAATCTTACATGTTAGATTTCAATATTTGACTTGAACTTGTAGTTATCTAGAAATGAAAGAATTTGATTGTCAAGACACATTTCTAGAATACTGAGGTGGTTCTTTATAAAATTTAAGATGGTAATGATATAATTACACCATGTAATATTGGTCACTCCTTTGTAACGAAGTGCAAAAATTGTCTCTACCTGTTGAGTTATTGAATCCTGTTAATTGTTTTTTCATTTATTTTAGAAACCAAAATATATGGCATAAAATTATATAATAGGTAATGTGCAATGTCAGAAACAGATAAAAATAACTGTAGCAACAATCATTGAGGTCTTACTATTTGTCAGGCACTGTAGTCTGTCAAACGTATTATGAATTTTTCATCTATTCCAATGCTCATGGCAGTTCTATAAGGGTCACTTGATAGAGGAAGAAGCAGCTTGATTGAGTAACTTGCCCCAAGTCACAAAGCTAGCAAGTGGTATGATTAGTTTGAACAGGAAATCTGACTCCCAAGTCCTCCCTTTTTACTGCTATAAATCTCTTTATTAGCCGATCATGATTGTAACAGATTTATAATGTATAACTTTACTTCTCAAGCCTAGTCATCTCTCGTCTGGGTCCTACAGCAGTCTCCTCACTGGACCTATTGCTTCTACTTTGCCCCCTAGAGCCCTCTCTGCCAGAGTGATCTTTCATTTATTTATATGAGAACAATCTACAGATTTTTTTTTGGACAAACAAAACTGTATGTATTTAAAGTGCACAGCACAATGCTTCCATGTTTGTGTACCTTGGGAAGTGATTGCCACGATCACGTTAATACTCCCGTCATCTCACATAGTTACCATTTTTGTTCTTTAGAGAGATCTTATAAAAATATCTGTCATATCTTTTTCTTCATGAAAATTTCTTAAGTGTTGTGGTAGGCAGAATTATGGCCTCCCCAAGATATCAAGCCCTAATCCCTGGAACCTATAAATGTTACCTTATTTGCAAAAAGTGTTTTTGCAGATGTGGTTAAGGATCTTGAGATGAGGAGATTATCCTGGGTTAGTTGGTTAGGCCCTACATGCCACGTATCTTATAAGAGAAGAGCAGAGGTAAATTTGATGCAGACACAGAGGAGAAGGCCACGCAAAGATGAAGACAGAGATTGGAGCGATGCAGCCACAAGCCAAGGAAGCCAGCAACTACTATAAACCAGAAGAAGCAAAGGACAGATCCTATCCTAGCGTGTCTGGAGTGGGTGTGACCTTGCCAACACTTTGATTTTGGCTGAGTGATACTGATTTAGGATTTATGGCCTCTAGAACTTGAGAGAATAAATTT